TCAGGCCTCGTAAAGGAGAAAAGCTGCAAGCACTACAGACCAGGGTGGGCAGGGACTGGGTCTGGCTTATACTCTGCAACAAGGCTGCATGGGAGTGGCTCAAGAGAGCTAAAACCCTTTTTAACTGACCACATGAAATCAGAGGATCACAATCTTGACAAAAAAAAAAAAAAAAAAAAAAGAAAGCACAGCGATGAGGAGATAACACCAAGGAAGCATCTATATCACCACCTGTTGCAATAGCAGATTTCTGCTGGATCTTTAGGAAGAGCTTTCCAATCCTGCTGCATCTTGTTCTCCCATGTCAAGGTTGACCTGCCTGACTAGGACCACTATGAATGACAACTCTTTATCTTAAGTAGACAACTCAACAAGACAAAGTGTCATCACAAGAAGTTTCAAAAATGACATAAAAAATAAGAAACAGGAAAAAAATAGAGAAATGAGAATCAAAATCTAAGTCAAGCCACTCAAAAATGATACTGCTTTAAGATCAACCAAAAAAATGAGTTATTTGCCAACTTTTTGTGGTCATTATAATCAAATGATATGATGGGTACCACTACATGCAAAGCAGGCTCAATTATTACAGAGCTTTCTTAAACAAGAAAAGCAAAGCTGCTTTTAAGTTTCTAAGATCACACTTCTATCTTATTACCACCATTTTAAACTTTGTTTGTAGTGACTGAAAAGGAAGCTTTTTCTATTTTATGTTTGAGCTCCCAGATACTAGGTCAGTACTGAAAAGACACACATTCAGCAGGCTTATGATTTCCTACAAACATACAATATCATATATGTAAATAATATAACAAAATATACATAACATTGCTCACACAAGTTATACTTGTGGAACTCAAAGTGAAGTTGCAAGTTACTATGAAAAGGGATAAAAAATGACTTCTATTTCAATAATGAAAACAATGAAAAAGCTTTATGAAAGTGCAAAGAGGTAGCTTTTGGTCAAGAAAACCACATAACTTTTCTAATGCAGTTTTAAGCTATTTTTACAGCAAACAGAGGAAAAACTATCAGGGACAGAGCATTTACACTGAAATGTATTTTGAAACAAGAAACAAAATATTAGTATGTATTACAAATTACTTATGCTGAAAAGAAATCCACTAAAATGGAAACACTACAGGGGTGCCTGGGTGGCTCAGTTAGTTAAGCATCTGACTCTTGGTTTTAACTCAGATCATAATCTCATGGTCCTCAGCCAAGCCCCGTTCTGGGCTCTGCACTCAATGAGGAGTCTGTCTCAGATTCTCTCTCCCTATCCCTCCTACTCACACTCTCTGTCAAATAAATAAATAAATAAATAAATAAATAAATAAATAAATAAATAAATAAATAAATAAAATCTTTAGCCTACAACAGTTTTGGATGAATTTTTTTTTGCCTCTTTATATGTACTTTACAAATTTCGATAATAAATATATAGCATCTCTAAAACAAACAAAAAGTATCTGAAACATTATTACCTAGCCAAAGTGGGTTTCATATACAAAAAAAAAAAAGCCTAAAAGCAGTGAATCTTAAGGGGCTGTTTTCCATACATTTTTCTAGAATATATATCTCCTTAGAAAAGTACAGGACTTTTGAGAGTGTAGCCATAATTTTGATTGTTAAGGATATGTAGCAGAATTCTAGAGAGGGGTGAGAAAGAAACATATGGCAGGTGTCTGGGGGACATATAACAGAACTGCCGACAGAACTCCATGTGTAGTGTTGATCATAAAGCCTAAGGCTTTATGATCACAGGGGTCTAGGGGCATATGTGGGAACAGTGAGGTATTTCCCCAAAGAACTTGGAAAACAAGAGAATTTCTCACAGAATGAAAGCTGTACAGTCAAAACAAAATTTATTAGAGCAGTGACAATATCTGAAAGGAAGAGAAGATCAAGAGTCATCTGAAAGGGAGGGAAAGATCCCTAGGTCTGTAAGATGTAGCCAAAGCCACAAGGAGAAGAGGTCATATCCATTAAGTCGAGTAAGGGAAACTATACATTAAGATTCAAAGAATAGGAAGAATTCAAGCTATTTTTAAGTATTTAATAGTCCAGTTCTGAAAAACTGTGATATGCCCATCTGAGAATTGTTTGGATAAGAGAGAATTTAAGGATCCTGGCTCAAAAACATGAACCATGTGGTCCAGGTGGTATCTATTTCCTAGTGTCAAAGAGGGCACACAGGAGATCAGCTCCTGATATGAAACACATAATCAACTCTCCTATTTATGATTTCAGGCTAATTAAAGAAACTTCAGATTACCTGGCTTCAAATTTTGGTTCTGCCACTACTAGTAAGTGATATTGGGGCAATTATATATTCTTTTGCAGTTTTCATATTCAGAAAATGGGGATAATGATAGCAGCCATCTCACATAGATACTAAAAGGACTGAATGTGCCAAACCAACCCTGCTGGGATCTTAATCTTGGACTGCCAGCCTCCAGAACTGTGAGGAAAAGGACTGGATGTGCCAATTCAGATAAAACATTTAGAACAGTGCCTGGGAGAAAGTGCTCGACATCAGTCAGTAGGCCTGGGGACCAGGATCCAGGTTGTGGTAGATTGATCAGGTAAATTCCACCTGAGGCCAGCCATTCAGTCTTTCCTGACAATAACTGGATGGATCTCTATGGAATCTTTCTTTGACAAGGGGTACCTGGGAGTAAGGAAAAGGAACTGTGCTGATGATACAAAAAGGAAGGAACGAGGTACCACACAGTGGGTGGGTGGGGGTCAACAAAGATTTATTAATATGAGGATGTAGAGAGCATGAAGCAGCTCAAAAAGAAGTAACAGGCAAAGGCATTCCTATGTAAGATAAGTAATTTCAGTTTTATCAGTAACAACAAAATGATTAAAATATGAACATCAGAATTAACAAGAACACAAGTAGGTAATGCAGCAGAGAATGTAATCAGTATATTCATATCATATACAGATGAGTTCTATAGAAATTTACCTATTCTCTAATACTTCCACAATTCAAAAGTTCATCCCAAACCTAACTTTATCCATTTGATTTCCTAATTTAAGTTCTTCTCATCAAGTCAATTTCTTACAGTACTTCCCTGATTGCTATTTTTTTTTAAGAGAAAGAGAAAGAAAGAGAGGTCATGAGTGCAGAGGGGGTGGGAGGAGCAAAGGGAGAGAGAGAATCTTAAGCAGGCTCCACACCCAGCATGGAGCTTGAAATGGGGGTTGATCGCATGACCCTGAAATCAAGAGCTGGACACTTAACAAATTGAGCCACCCAGATGCCCCACTTGACATTTGATTCTTGTCTGTACTTGGGAAAATTAACCACCCTCCTCTCTCTGCTAATCTATGCCTCACTACTCATTTTTCAAAATTCAGGTCAAGACCCCCATTATCCAAAAGTCCTCCCTGACGATCTCAATACATAGACTCTGGTTTCCTTAACCCTTTATACATTTATTATTTGTACCACCTTATCAGCCCTAGGGAAGAGAGTACACAGGAAAAAAGAGTTGCAAGTCAAAAGATATAAGCTGAATTCCAGTCTCAATACTTTCACAGCCGTGCAAACCCAGGAAAGTTACCTAAACATTTTACTATCTACTCGTCTATAAAATGAGTAACAAAACCTGCTCTAGAATATTGCTGGACATGGAACATACATGGAAATATTTTGTAAATTTTAAAAAACTCTATAATTGTTACCAACATTATCCTGTTCTAATTTCTGGCTGCTTTTTTCACACAGCATCTTAATAAAAAACATGTAATATAATATTATCATAATCATTACTCATACATAAACCTTACCGTAAAAAGCCATCTTTACAGTCTAATTGTTCAAGCACCATTAGGCACATGCTAACTATTTATTATTAGATTCTATTTTAACGTCTCTCCTTTCTTCCTTTAAATCTTTTTCTATAACACTTTGGAGGCACAAGAAACTTAAGTTTATTTCAGTTGGATTTGATGTCCATAGACATTATTATCCTCTATTTAGCTATATAAATAACTTTCTTTTCTTGAAAGCTAAGTTGAATCACCAAATTATAGCCTTTTCCTAAAACAAAAATCCTTTACACAGTTAGGTTTCTTGGGCCAGTTAAATTTTAATTACCAAGGAAGTCACAACAGTTCTCCATCTCTCTCAGGTTAGATATCAATACACATTAACTCAAAATCACATACTCCAGCCTTGCTGATTCTAAAGCAGCAACTACTCCTTGACACTTGTGGCAATTAATTTAAAATTTTAAGTAGTTCTACAAGTCTCTCTTCTTTCAGATCACCTTAGAAACTGAACTGGTGTCAACAGGTTCTTTTCAGGCTCAAAAAAACGGGGAAAAAGAGAGAAACCTTACTCAAACCAGCCAATGTCTATGTCACTCTGGTATTTAGCACCATAGAAAACCAGAAACAGTGATTCTCCTGCTGCACACCTGCCATTTCCATGTGTGCTTAAAACCACCTAATCTGGGGACACCTGGATGGCTCAGTGGTCGAGCGTCTGCCTTTGGCCTAGGGCATGATCCTGGAATCCCAGGATCGAGTCCCACATCGGGCTCCCCGCATGGAGCCTGCTTCTCCCTCTGCCTGTGTCTCTGCCCCCCTCTCTCTCTGTCTGTCATGAGTAAATAAATAAAATCTAAAAAAAAAAAAAAACAACAAAAAATAAAAACCACCTAATCTTTCATTCTATTAGTAGAGAGGCCTTGTTTTTCTAGTTAACCAATAAGATATGTATGTATGTATGTATGTATGTATTTAAGATTTTATTCATTCATGAGAGACACAGAGAGAGAGGCAGAGACACAGGCAGAGGGAGAAGCAGGCTCCATGCAGGGAGCCCGATGTGGGACTCAATCCTGGGACTCCAGGATCAGGCCCTAGTCCAAAGGCAGATGCTCAACCGCTAAGCCACCCAGGGATCCCACAAATAAGGCATTTAAAAAGGTAAATCACAAGGCTCAGTGTTCATATGGCTGGAGGGCTGGAATTAAATTTACCTCAGAGGGAACATACTGCTCGACAGCTGTAGCGACAGTTGCACAACAAATCCAGAGCAATACCATCACCGAGAGGACAAGAGTTGTGGTTAAAATCCAGCCAGAGTTACTAAAAAACAAGTTAGTCATGTTAAAATTTCATAATATAAAAAACAGATTCTTAATAATTAAAGGCAATTAACCTTGTGCACTTAGTTTAATAATACAACGGAAACTTCATTGTACTCCTTTAAAACTATTTAAAAAACATACCCAGAAGGAAATATTATAATAGCTTTTATATTAGCGTCCTCCATTTCTCAAGTTTCTGTATCATGGCTATCACTTCTACAATTTAAAATATCAGATATACTGGCTTTTTGCTAAATATATAAAATTAAAACAAATTATTTTCAAAAGCATTTTTCAATTACTAAATGAGATAATGCAAATCAAAGTGTACTGTAAATTATATGCTTCTATACATATGTCATACATTATTCTGCAAGGCACTATAGTGATACTTCTTTTAAGAAAACCCAGTATCTCAAAAGATTTAAGGTATACAATAGGTACATTATGAAATGATCATTTGTTTTATAAAAGGACTCACAATAGGCTTCCAGAAATTAGTGTTCCTAGAATACCTCAAACAATCTGACACAATTTACTTAATTTCAATTTACAAGAGCACATCTTTTATGAGCCATTCTGTACCCGTTATTAGTATATCTTAGTAAAAAGATAGTTATATTTTTCTTATGTTTAAAATATCATAAAGTCAGCCAGTTACAAGAATTAGCAACAGTTTTGCCCATAATTGATCTATTGTTTGCCAAACTGTATATTAAGATTCAAAGAATAGGAAGAAGTCAAGCTATTTTTAAGTATTTAATAGTCCAGTTCTGAAAAGCTGTGATAATTACTACAGGCAGTCAGGCAGTCTGATTTTCACATCTGTGCTCATCCAGTACTGCCTGATATAGAGTCTATACTTACCACCATAACCCATTCACTTGATGGCTTGCCCAAACTTGAACATGCCAAGGAAAATGTATGCACAGTCATTATTTGTCTCCCAGCAAAAGAGATAGACACTGGAAAATGCACTGCATCTAAAAGCAGGGAATATCTACATGGTGTTGTAAGTGTTCCAATTTAGAAAGAAAGTAAAAAATATTTTTTTAATTTTTTTTTTAATTTTTTAAGATTTTATTCATTTATTCATAGACACAGAGAGAGAGAGAGGCAGAGACACAGGCAGAGGAAGAAGCAGGCTCCATGCAGGGAGCCCGATGTGGGACTCGATCCTGGGTCTCCAGGATCACACCCCAGGCTGCAGGCGGCGCCAAACCACTGCGCCAGCAGGGCTGCCCATAAAAAATATTTTTAATGAAAAAACACCCACTTTACATATTCCAGCCTAACCCAAGTACTAAGGAATTTCCTTCCATGAAATGAGAAGGATATATTTGATATCTGGATTCCAGTAACAGCTAGTTAATTAAGCAAGAAAACTGGGGCTCATTTTAAAGTCCATCTGCTTCTTCCACTTCCACAACAAAACAATCATACAGATTCTTAACTGTCTCCGTTATCTCTTGTTTCCTTTGTCCATTACCTAATTCAGACCTCATAAGTGCTTGCAGGATTTACCACAGCTCTTCAACTTGATCTTCTATCCTTCACGTAGATGCCTCTTCCCATACTTAGATTTGATTACTTTCCTTCTCCTATCTAGTTCCTGTCCACTCAGTTTGGTCTCTGATCTAACTCTCCATACATATTAATATACTTTATATATTTAGTAGAAAGCCAGCACAGCTGAAAAAAAAATTAAAGAAACATGCTACACTAGTCAAAATCTCTTTTCATTATTTAAGACTTATTTCTATGTCCTCTGTCAATTCTTCCTTTGAAGGTATACTCCTTGTACTCTGTATATGAGGTGTGTATGATATATAGCAATCATCATTGCTTGTTTATTGTTTGCATGTCTGTCTCTATCATACTAGACCTGAGAACTCCATATAGGCAGACACTGAACACCTTTCTCTAGGTCCCACGTCCCTGACACAGTTTCTGGTACATAACAGACTCTCCGAAAAGAAATGGCAAGTGAAAAAAAATGAGTTGACCTCAATTTCCATTCTGGAAGCTAAGGGTACCTCCATAACAGCTATGTTGTACTATTAAAAAGCACTGCAGTTAAAAGTCAAAAGACCAGATTCCACTGAGGCTAGGTGATCTTGCATGTCATCACAGAAAACTCATGATTCTAGGAAACAGACACCTGTGCCAGAACTGGATGAGTAGAAGATGCAGAATTAGAAAAGCTAGATTTGAACTTTAATGTGATGGATATATAACCTTAGGGGTGGGCAATTCATCTCTGACCCACCTACTTATCACAGGTACTGTTTTTTTTTTTTAAAGATTTTATTTATTTATTCATGAGAGACAACAGAGAGAGAGAGAGAGAGAGAGAGAGAGAGAGAGAGAGGCAGAGACACAAGCAGAGGGAGAAGCAGGCTCCATGCAAGGAGCCTGACGTGGGACTTGATCCCTAGTCTCCAGGATCACACCTGGGGCTGAAGATAGCAGCGCTAAACTGCTGAGCCACCCAGGCTGCCCCACAGGTACTGTTCTAAGAGTCAAATGAGCTCACTGAAGGGAAAGGTATTTTAAAGAGTTATTTTTTAAATTAAAATGTAGAATACTATTATAATTCATGTTTATGCACAGAGCCTTCTAGGCATTAAAGTTCTAGTTATAAAATTAGTTATTTCTTAAATTAAACATTTACAAAATTACTTTGAAAATGTTAGATTTAAAAGAACATAAAATACAATGACAAAATGCTAAAGGATAATAAGTCACCAATAAGATGCCAGGTAGTACAGTATTGAGAATAAACTGTAACTTAAGATTGATCACTTAGGTTTCATAAGACTATCAAATTGCAACAAAAATCCTAAATATCAGAGAGAGAAAAATTATACCTGAATTCTGCCAAGGTCAAAAGGAGGTTTAGAAATGAAAGGAAGGGAAAATTTAAAGTTAAATCCTCATTTTCTTATCCAGTCTTTAAAGACTTGTGTTAGGTAAAAGGAATTAATCTTTAGGTACCAAAATAACCCCACTGATACCTGATAAAACCTGTCAAGAAACTCTTTTAATTATAAGAAATTGCAGGAAGCAGGCAGTTTGGACTACTACAGTGTTACACTAGAGACAGAACAGCCCACCAGAGCATACACACTGTGAGGGCAAGCACTTGTTTACCACCTCTACTCAAATGCTTGGCCTGATATCTGACACAGTAGATAATTATCAGTAAGTTCTATGGGCCACTGTCTCTCTCTTTTGAAGGGGGTTATGGAGGTAGACGAGGAGAGCTCATATCAGAACTCTTTGGAGGAAGGGAAGTATGCATATTTTAATAACCCCACTCGACCTTCAGAAGGCTTGATATTCCTTCCTAGTAGAGCGTAAAGTACCCATTACTCCTGCCTGCCTGCTTTCCCTGCCATCTTTAAGGATCCTGGGCATACAGTTGATACTCCTTAGTATAGAATACAAAGCCCTCCTTAATCTGTACCCCTCATCTACCTTCTCTAGCCTCAGGTGCGGTCTTGTAGATAAAAACAAAAATCCAACCCCAAACCATTCAGATACACTTTAAAGCTTGATTTAAACATATGGAGAAACATATTTCTTAACATAAATCAGAGAATCTTAACAAGAACAAGAATGCTTTTGTACTGGGAAGAAAACTAGCTGTTTGAGTTTTATTACAGTGGTATGTGTATTATCTTTTAAATAAATTAAAATAGGGATGCCTGGGTGGCTCAGCGGTTGAGCGTCTGCCTTTGGCCCAGCGTGGGATCCCAGGATCCGGGATTGAATCCCATATCAGGCTCCTTGCGGGGAAGCCTGCTTCTCCCTCTGCCTGTGTCTCTCATGAATAAATAAATAAAATCTCTAAAAATAAATAAATAAACTAAAATATCAAAAAGTACAAGTTGGTAGAACAAGGTAAGGTAAACAAGTTTTTTTAAATTTCTGAACAGCTAATATAATTTTAAAATAAAAAGGAATGTATCTGTCTGATACAAGCCAGATTTTATCTCCTATACATACAAATAAACAGGAATACATACAGAGATAGACATCTTAAAAAGCCATCACTTTCTCCATCTTCAAGATAGTTCCTATGGGTTTGTGAACTTCTCATTTGCAGATCTGCTGAAATAATAAGGTACAATTTATGATATCCTATATCCCAAAAGCTAGTCTCAAATGACTACTCCTAGATATATACACTGTACAGATACCCAGCTGCTTTTATAAGTATAATCTGATACATTGATAATAAATGCAAGTTCCTCTGGCATGTTAAAACTGAATGGTTATTCTACCACATTATGGATTTCCTATTTTATTTGCAAATTCTTATGAATGAGGACATTTTAAAAGGTAAGCTCAGCTTTAGGTTGATGTTTTATGTTCCTACAAGTTAAAATTGTAGGGCTCAGAAATCTGTTTTTTAACAAGCTCTCCAGATCCTAAACTACTGTTTAAAAATTATTTGTTTACTTTCTATTAGCGTAAGAACAATCATACAACCAAATCCAAACCACAACCAGATTTGTTAATGTTGTTATCCCAAGCTACTTGAAATAAAACTTACAGGACATTTTGCTTAGCGACGATTCTTTCAAATTTGTAGGCTCCTGCTCCAACTGTGGTGCATACTGGATTTCTGGCTTAGACTAAAATGATAATGAAAGCAATTAAGCCATTTGTACTTCTTATGCTTTTCTCAGTAACAAGTTCTATAACACATCATCTGTATAAACATTCAAATTGAGAAAAAGTAACAGAAGTATGGTATAAAAAATAAAACACATTAGCCACAATATATTTTAATTGCACTTCCTAAACATCAGAGCCGGTGCCTTGCAAAGAAACAGACAGATTTCTGGCATCGTCAAGTATTTAGTCAGTTTAACTTTCTGACAACATTAAAAAAAAATTAAAAAGCAGGGACAAATTACAACATACTGCATTAAATATCATATCCTGCAAAAATGAGTGCTAATTCTAGTAGATCAAGAATAACTTAGCAGACTGCCAAAATTTTGAGCTAAACACCTATTATCTCTATTTTTCTCATCTGAAACATTCCATTCTTCCCTAAGTATGCGTAATTCATACATTACAGCTAAATACTCTATACTTTTCATCCTCCATACAGCACAGATCCTCTGGAGTGGGAGTTTCTCCAGTCTAGTTATGCTCAAGTTGATACAAAGAGAGAAACAAAGTGAATCTCGTATCTAATGAGGAATGAATGAGGGCTTCGCTCTGAGATTTAACTTAAACTTTAAGCTAATTAGCTTTAGGACATAGAGATTTACTCATGAATTTAAAGAGAAAAAACTCCTTATGTTTTACTTATTACCAAATATGTATAAAGGACCCAAGACTCAGGATAGTGCTAAAAATCACATTCTAGCCTTACAGTGAGCCGTTCTGTTACTAGTAATAATTAAAAGGTTTAATTATTACCTAAGAGAAAGTCTCACAACATAGCTTGTGATACATTTGAGGAATTTAACTACCAAATTAAAAGGAAAATAGCATATCCATATGTGATATATATACATGCCATGATTTATATTCAAAGTATATTCATTACTCTTATCTCTCATATCTAGAGGTTTCATTTTATCAATTTAACCACTATAAAATTTAGAAGATTCAGAGTTCTTGATAAGGACCAATGGGCTTGAGAGAGGCTTCCAACAGGCAGAGAGAAGTAACACTGTGTTTTGATGCCCAATGTTTTAATGTAGGCCAAATCAGTAATTATTATTTGGTAATATATATGGCTCTATGCCAAGACATTCATTTAAGACATACACATTTACTGTTGTTGGTATTTAGATGAATCTATGAAGCACAGTGGTTACCTGGAATATAACTATTTTTCCATCATCAGCTTGAAGATAAAAAGTCCATGAAGAGGTTATGAAGCTCTGGGCAGAGTCCATCATGTCACTCCAGAATGACCTTACCAGAGTTAGAGGGAAGAGTAGGTGCATTTTTGGCATCAGGGACATGAGCTTAAAAACAAAACAAAACAAAACACTGAATCATTATTTTAAAAATATATGACTTATATATATATATATATATATATATATATATATATATATATATATATATATATATTCAAGAGAGCAAACATGGGGAAGCCTGAGTGGCTCAGTGGTTGAGCAACTCCCTTTGGCTCAGGTCGTGATCCTGGAGTCTCGGGATCCAGTCCCACATTGGGCTCCCTGCATGGAGCCTCTGCCTATGTCTCTGCCTCTCACTCTCTCTCTCTATCACTCTCTCTCTCTCTCTGTGTCTCTCATGAATGAACAAATAGAATCTTTAAAAAAAAAAAAGAGAGAGAGAGCAAACTTAATCAAGTTTCTCCAAATCGTTACTGGGACAGGGACTAAAAAGTTAAGTGATTCTACCACAACAACTAGCATTAAACAGTTTCCTACGCAAATGAACTGTGATAAGGCTTAAGATCCCAGGCTATTGGATGCCTGGGTGGCTCAGTGGTTGAGCGTCTGCCTTCCGCTCAGGATGTGATCCCAGAGTCCCAGAATCGAGTCCTGCATCGGGCTCCCTGTGGGGAGCCTGCTTCTCCCTCTGCCTGTGTCTGTCTCTCTCTCCGTGTCTCTCATGAATAAATAAAAATAAAATCTTAAAAAAAGAATCCCAGGCTACTTCATTTTGCCACCTCTATCAGAATAACAGGCTTTTAGGGCAGCCCAGGTGGCTCAGCGGTTTAGCGCCGCCTTCAGCCCAGGGCATGATCCTGGAGACCCGGGATCAAGTCCCACATCAGGTTCCCTGCATGGAGCCTGGCTTCTCTCTCTGCCTGTGTCTCTCTTTCTCTCTGTCTCTCACGAATAAATAAATAAAATCTTAAAAAAAAAAAAAAAGAATAACAGGCTTTTAAATCAGGTCCAAAATTGTGAAGAATCTTAAGATATGATTAAAATAAGGATTAGCAAGGCCTTAAGAGGTAGAAGGGGCAGAGACTAATTATACCATCCTATCTTAATGCTTTCATGTAAAACAAATCATGTTATAATAAACATTGATGGAAAAGGGGAAGGGAAAAAAAATCAACCAAAAGCATATATGCATAAAATAGAGACATCTGATAGCAGGGCAGTGTGATAAGAGTATTTATGGGCTGAGTATATACAGTAAGCTACTGATTTTAACATTAATGGGTATCATGTCCCCCCAGTTCTGACTTCTTTACTTATTTAGCAGCAGTGGGCCCCTCCAGAGCATAAGTATGGGACACCTTTTGCTGTACTTTAGGGAGAGCCTTGATGCTGCTATATTTCAAAACAGAGGCATTATGGAGTAAGAGATCAATTTGTTGAATCAAAAGATCTATATTCATGATCCAATTTTCCCACTAATAGCTCTGAAATTTTTCACTGATTAATTCACCAAACAAGTACTCATTGAGATTAAAAATTTTAGGAGATCAGATCATGTATATTTTACTCAACAACGTATACCTATGTTTAATCTGTGTAATCTATATAGAACAGAGGTTAAAAATTGATTAATATGTGTGTATGGAGAAGGGCACCTAACCCAAACCTGGGTGAGAAGGTGTTAAGAAGGCTTCACAAAGGAAATGACACCTGCCCTGAATCAAGGGGATTCAATAAAAGGATGGGGAGTAGAAGGAACAGAACCATGAAAGAACTCATCATACTTTAAAAATTAAGAACTGTTCAGTATGTATACAACTAAGAGAAAAAAAAAAACAAAAATGGCTCTTAAAAATCAGAAAACACATTTAACATTACCTGTAATATGAAAAACACAAATTTGAAATATATTAAAAGTGGCACACTGTCAGGAGTTGAGGAAGGAGAGAAGTGGGTATGGGATTTCTTTTTGGGGTGGTAAAAATGCTTGGAATTAGTGATGATGGTTGCAAAACTTTGTGAACATACTGACAACTACTGAATTGAATACTTCACAAGAGTGAATTTTATAGTATGTGAATTTTATCTCAATTATTAAAATTTGGTACAAATTCCACAGAGAGGAATTTTGCTCTACTTCTCAAAATTAAACACACAAATATTTTGTGCTCAGCAATTCTACTGTGATTTTATTCTATAGATATAAATGTGAGAGGTGTGCAACATTGCGTATAAATGAAAAAGATTAGAAACCTATATGTCCAAATAAGAGATTGCTTAAACAAATGATACATCCATACAATGGACTGTACAGTGAAAAAAAGAAATGAATAGATATTCTTTACGTATACTTGTATTTTAAAAAAGAAGGAATATATGTATCCTTGTATCTGCATAAAATACGTCTGTCTTAGTAACCCTGGCTACATGACAAGGAAAATTGAATGGCTAGGATATACAGGGGTAGGAGATTTTTTACTACATATTCTTTTTACCTTCTGAATTCTATACCATGTGGCTGTACTTCCTATGCAAAAGCTAATAAAATTAACAAACTTTATCTAGTATATTTGGAGTACAGAGTATGAGGGGGTGGGGAAAAAAAAGATAACCTAAGAGAAATAATCAGGAGCCGGACCATGATAAGTGGTTTGGACTTAACCCTGTAAGTGGGTCCTGAAGTATATAAGACAGGAGAATGACACAGTGAGATTTCTATTTAGAATATAAATATCTGAACATATACTAAAGGATGGACTAGAAAGGGTCAAGTGGGAAAACAGATTGCAAGTTTAGCAATACAGACGAGAAATGATGATGACCTAAGCTAAGGCAATGGCAGTTGGGGTAGGAAAAAAATGACTCACAACTATGAACTTCTTTCTCTGAGCCTCAGTTTTTTCATATGCAAAATGAGGATAATATCATTATTGGACCAAGAGAAAAAACTAAAGAGATTACGGATGTAAATGTAACTTTTAACAGTGAAGCATTATACAAAAGTAATTATGCAAGTGACACTCCTATTTGCAAACATATAATTTGTTTGCTGAAAACTAATTATAAAATATAACACTAAAATAGTATCTAAGTGGGTGATAAACATTTCAATACAAATCAGTGCAATTTAAGCAGGCAATTCTGAAAGGCAGTATTGTTTCATACTTGTTCTTGTCTCAGTTCAGCGAATGGCAGCTGATTCTGGCAACCAAGATGGCAAGCATATTGCTCATCAGATTGGGAATATGCTTCTGTACATGCTGTAAGAGAAAAACAGTCAAATTACAAGGAAAAGAGACAGAAAGAGAGAAAAGGAGAGAAGGGAAGGAAAGAAAAGGGGGAAGAATAGAAAAGAAGGGATTTGGCATTTTATAAAAAAATTTCTTAAAAAGCGTTTTATCAATATGAATTTTCAAATTCAGTAACAGTAGCAAAGATATTATTTTAATAAACTCTGTATCTTCTACCTCCCACATGTCAGATGGTTCAGGTATAAACCTATTGATTATACACTCAGGCTCAGGCTATATGATGACATTCATAAAGGGATCTTCACCACTATGGTATGCAAAGTGGGAAAAACAGTGGTCTGGCATCCTGAAGTTTTGGCGCCATACACGTCTGGCTGTGTATATGACCTAGGCTATGCTATTTAACCTCTTCAACTATTGATTTCTATATGTTTAAAATGGAAATACCAAATTACCATCACCTATGTCATAGAGTTGAACAAAACAATATATTTTAGTGATTTACACAAATACACAATATTAACATTAAGAACTAGATCACTCTGCTGAGAAACAAGGATATTCTCATAGCAAAGAAAAATAAAACAAAGCAATTAATCTAACACCCTAAATTCTGAGAAACTGAACTTAGAATATGCTCTACAGCAGGATTCTAAAGTTGAAGTGGGTATACACCCTCTTCATTTGGTTCACTAGAGCTGGTTCGCTCTTGTGATACATAACACTTTACCACTGTAACAATTTTTCTTTCCAACCCAGTCATATATTTGTAATATATTTCTCAAAGGTACTAGACAATAAGTTGAACAGCATTATGCACATATAAAGGTGGCCAGTTGGAGACTGAGCCACAAAAAAACAAGGTCATGATATCAAGGAGACTTAGACAGAAGTCATGGCAGAATGACAGGGAGAAAGGTACCTCCTGCTACCTTGAATAAACAGCATCATGTAATGAATGGAGGAAATTCCATTATGGTTTCTTTAAAAAGTTAAATGTCAATTTTGTCTTGATTACAGGTTTCTTTTATTAAATGCATCTCTTTTAGCAAAAGGTAAGAACAGTGGTTTAAGAGATGACAAAGACTCTGGTTACTTCTTTTATCAGCATGACCCACAAAGAATACACTATTAAATAGTGAGTCAAAGGCTTGATTCAGTAAAAAAAAAAAAAAAAAAAAAAAACCTTGGACCTTGGAGCTAAATCAACTGGCCTGATTGAAAGGCTTAGGAAAATTATACTATCCATTGAAAAAGTAGTGATGAATTATGAGAAGGGTAATTAAACCAAATGCTTCGTTACACAAAGGTGTCCTAGCAATAGTACAAAATAAACGTTGTCTCAACAAATAGAAGTAGCCTCCACTTTTCAGAAGTTCATATCTATTTTTACAAACCAAAAGAAATCTGAAGAGGATTCATGCTTTCATGAAAAAAAAAAAAAAGTGAAAACAGTGTTCAGCATTTGTTTTGTGGCTAGCCATTACAGAGGCAGCACACACTCCTGAGCAGCAACAGTGGCACTGCCAAGCTCCTTCCCTGGGAAATAAGCTCGGCATCAGGCCACCATAGCTTTGAACTGTGTAAGCATCTGTATTTTATCTTGATTTATTTTATGCATCTTAGCAAGATGTGTCCTAAGGTATTAGAAAAGACTAAGAGAGGTTATTTTTTGGATCTAAGAGCAGTCAAAAAATTTTCCATATAAATTAATGGTAATTGCTTCTTTGCTTTATGCCATTTTGGCTTAGGAGAGATTTCAAAGGAATGCTTTACTTTCATATAGCAGGGAACCCTAAAGATGAAATTTAAAGCCCATGAAATTTGTAGCAGCAGCTGATTAAACTCTAACTTCATAATTCTTAAAATATGTTAGAAATTAGTTTAAACAACATGCCTATCATTTTCTGAGGAACATATATAAAGAGTATTAACACAACCCAAAAAACCCACAATGTTATATACTTTTAGCATAGCATCTTACCAGATTCACATTCCATTTTGGTCCGATTTAAATCAATTCCATCATCCACAAATTGACAAATTGAAAACAGTCTGCAACCTCTCTGACATGCATACAACTCCTCTTCCTAGGGAGTTCAAGAAGAAGGAGGATTACCAAAAAAATATTATTTTTCCCTTGGGGGGGAAGTTAAAAAGAAAACAAAGTTAGTAGGTTTACTATTAAAATGTCCAATAAAAGGTTATAACCGAAAGAAATACGGTAGGAACCAGGTAATACCCAAGACCTTTGCCATAAAGAGGATTTAATTTCTTATTTTAAAAGTGATATTCAAGAAAGAAACCTAGTGGGGGGAAATTATATATCTCCTTTTCCCATATTCCAAGGTTATGTTTTGACGGAAAATTTTAAAAATAAAAATAACAGTGACATAATCAGAATTTTAACAAAGGTAGAAATGAGTAAGCAAGTACCTTCTGATGAATGACATACTTCTGCCACATAAATGTTTATAATTATCAGGCTTCTCAGGAAAAAGGGTCATGACTAGCTTCACATGGCAAATAGTGCAATAAAGGCCCGCAAGAAGTGAAGCATACATCTATGAAAAGTGTTTTTAAACTTTGCTTACTTTGACTGAAAACACAAACAAGAGCAACAGTGTGGTGTACAGGAAAAGCCTCTGGAATTACCAGACCTGGATTAAAATCTTTCAGGTGAATGACACTGCATAAATTACTTTACCTATCTAAATCTCAGTTTTCTCATCAGAAAAGGAGATAATGGCTATACATAACCTCCAAACCCCTCAATAATGCTGGAACATGGCGATTCCTGATATAGTCCCTGGGACACAGATGGTGCTCAATAAAAGGTAGTAGTGTTAATCACGATAACAGATTTTTAAGACAGAGGACAACAGTGATAGGCAACATTATCTATCTATGGGAGTTCAGGATAGGGTTGATTCTTCATTACTGGAAAACGTGAACTGCTTAATAAGACTAATGACAATGTCTTCACTAAGCTTTTGTTAGGTGAAATACACACAGTGTTTAACACAACCAGTACATGTAAGGGAGTCCTCTCAACTTACTGTGTGATCCACTGTGTACAAATTGGCAGGCACCTAATAAGGAAGCAAATAGCATGTGCATATACCAGTTAACAACCAATGGAAGAGAAAGGTATGTATTTCTTTACAGCAGAAGGATTAGTAAGATTTATGCAGCACCAATAACCCATTAAGAAGAGATGGCTGCAGTCTGACATTAAACAAGTGTTGCAATTTTGAAGCTAGCATGTTTTTTGAACCTCAGTTCTGGTTGCATTTATTGTTAAGGTGAAACTGAAAGAATTTTAACAATTAAGATAAACTTCATACCTGAGTAGCTTTTGAAGCTTTGTAAAACAGTGGAAGAAATTCTCTTATGTATTTGGAGCACCACATCTCCTTATACTGCACAGAGGAAGCTTGAACTCATTAGTATGAGCTATAATGCATGCCATTGCATTTTCAGGTAGGTTTTCTTCCCTTAAACCAAGCCAGTAAGCCCCCCAGTCCTATTTTCAAAAGAGAGTATGGCATGCTGCAAAGAACCTAGATCCAGGAATCAGCCCTGCTTTGAAGCTCAGCCTCACCACTTATTCTGTACAACCTCTGGCAAGTGACAATTTCTTTCAGCCTGTTTCCTTGGTTGTAAGATGGGGACAATACTCTTATGACAAGGATTTCACATTTTATATACACAGTATCATGAATATTATGCTATACTATCTAACAAATAGGCATAATAATAATATATTTAATGAGCACCCACAATGTGCCAGACACTATGCTAACACTTAAGGTATACAATGTCCAGCACAGAGAAGGGACTCAATTGGTAGCTATTAAGAATCATGTACTAGATAATATCATTCTAAGTAAACATTTCATGGTTTATGTATCTCAAATGATTGACAAGCTTATCTTAAATGTACCTTAGATTTAGAGCACAAGGAAATGTTGCTCCCCACAAAAATGAATGAAACTAAATAATCAGAAGGTACCTCAATGATAATTATCTATAGAATATATGCATTTTCTTGCTCAGAGCTAAGTCAAGCTAACTATTCTCAATATTTAGCACCACTGATACTGTATGTACCAAACTGGTTTTATGTGCTAAGAGTGCCACATACATTATCTTTAATTCCCACACCAGGTCTGTAAGGTATGAAGTTTTTGTTGTTGTTGTTTTACAGGTGACAAAATGAAGTCGTGAGAACTTAAGTGATCAGCAAAGATATACAGATAGTAAAAGTGGAGCTGGGAATTGGACCCAGGCTTATGGTTCCAGAGCCCACACATTAAAAAAAAAAAAAAATGACCAGGTGGGCATTAGTTAGCTTTGTTGTTAACATAACATAAGTCTCTTGTATTTGGACCCAGACAAATGATGCAATTGTATTTCTGAGGAAAGTTAAATGGTAACTATATTGGAATTTTAAAATAACTACTTACAAACAGCTATCCTACTTTCTTGCAACAAATAATTAATTCTGAAAAAGAGTTGTTAAAATGAGATTTCTATCTTCCAGCTGCAAATACCAGACTGACAGGGCTAGGTGAGCTTCTAATTTCATCTGATTTCTTAAAACGCACACTGCTTTTTCCTGAACTGCAAAGCACAATAATTCAGAGGGCCCATAGAAATCAGTGAAATAAGTAAATTAAATTAATTTTTAATACAACTTTATTAATAGAGGGCAGCAAAGTATAATCAGTTTTAGGGCTGAATTCCTACTACCTCACTACTTCTTAGCTATGTGACTTTAGGTAAGTCACTTAACCTTTCAGAGCCTCAATTGTAAAATCCTACTTTGCATGGTTGTGACAATTAGGGATAATGGGTATAGATCTCTCATCATACTAACAGAGTAGACAGTTAATAAATGTTAAGTCCATCTAACATACGGGGAGCCAAATGACTGTTCCTGAGAACAGCTTTGACGAATAAGCAAAAATGATTTATAGATACCACCTCAATTGTTAAAAACTGTCAAAATAGTGGATAAAAGTACCTGAAGTTTCCAGAAATGTTTATATCCTTTAGTTATTCTCCCAGCTTTCTGGGTCATACTACAAGTTTGCTAGGAAAATCTCAAGAAAGGAAAAAAACACAACCAAACACTAGAAGGATACAAAATAAGTTTCCATTCAATGCCAGGCCAAATAAATCTTAGTGAGTTTCTTCATACAGTCTTCTTAATGATGAGAGGTTTATAAATAGAGAGGAAAGTAATGTATTCAGGGGCAGTACACATTGATTTAAGCTTGAAAGTCACAATCTCTTATTTCTCTCTCCTGATTGCTATATTAGTGTCTGACTGAAAATTTTAGGATAATCAATCTCCTACACTTTTTCTTGAAAACTGATAAAACTTGGGTGCCTGGGTGGCTCGGTCTGTTAAGTGTCTGTCTTTGGCTCACTGGGATCAAGTTCCACATTGGGCTCCTTGCTCAGCAGGAAGCCTGCTTCTCCCTGTCCCTGCTGCTTGTGCTGTCAAATAAATAAAATCTTTTAAAAAAACTTAGAAGGATGATAAACCTCATGCAAGGTAAAATGCTGCCGTACACAGATACATGGGCAGTGAAAGAATTCAGAGATTTTCATTTCAAAGACCTCAAAGGACTTGTCCAAAAGGAACATCCCATAAAGTTCACTGGCCCTTTCCTTTGTAGTCTGAGAGAGCAAAGAGGGCTAGCCACATGCTTAAGCCAACAGCACCGAGGAGATGAAGGGAAAACAAGGAGAAAAAGACCAGTAACAACAGTAAAAGCTCTTGAAAGAAAGAAAGAAAAGAAAGAAAGAAAGAAAGAAAGAAAGAAAGAAAGAAAGAAAGAAAAGCAGTAGGGGGAAGGGAGCACATATCCAAATTATATATGGGAAAGGGTGGGGAGTCACCACACAATTTAGAATGTTGAGTAAACAGAGTTCCTAAGATGAAAAAAAAAAAAAAAAAAAAGACCTGAGAAGTGGAATGGGATGAAAGGACGGCATCACGGGACGGGGGGGGGGGGGGGGGGGGGGGCGGGGGGGCGGAAAAGGAGTTTCAAGAAAGCAGGGTCACTCCCCTCGGGAAGCTGGGACCCTGACGCCCCCCCGCCCCCCCCCCCATCGGCAGTCTCATTTTTATACCCGCTCTGCACTGAAGGGTCAAGTTCTTTGCAGAAACCTAACTGCTGCTTCTCTAAGCCATCCCAAGCCCTAAGGCAGCGTCCTGCACACAGTGACTCAACCCAGGCGGAAAGCCCTTCCCGAGCGTCTCACAACTCCGAGGGCTGATGGAATACATTTCTATCACGGTGGAATGGTCTTGCTTGCCTGACCCCCAGGACAGGCTAGGAGCTCCCGGCCCGGAGGGGCGCTCAGTCTACATGCGTTACGAACTAACCTACTGTGGGCTTGCATATCTGCTCCTGCACCCCGCCCCCTCCCCCCTCGCCATCCCTTAACGCTCCGTGAAGGTGAAGACCCTGCATCCATCATGCATATCCTCCTCCTCCTGCCCCCCGAGAGTGCTCGTCTCTCCGGCCGCGCAGCCAGCTGCCAGCGGCCAGGGGTCCGGTCTCGTTCATCTCTGCGTCCCCCAGCCTATTCCGCGGTAGATGCAGCACAAACTTCCGGTAATTACAGCAGGAAAGGGGTGCGGGGAGAACTAGGGAAGACAACAGGAGCTACACAGGTGGGAGACAGCGGTTGGAGGGTGTGCGTTCGACACCCAGGCTCCCAGGGCTGACACCGGTCGGGGAGGAGGGAGAGATGGGCGGCCAGGGGAGGGTGCAGCCCGGTTCGGACGGGCCCTACCTTGGGGTAAGTATGCAAGGGGAAGGTCAACTGACAGGCCCGGTGACAAGACGCCGTATCACCCAAGATCGAGTCAAATGCTTCAGCCGAAGCGGTCCCCGAGCCTCCAGCCAGGGCCATCGTCAACAGCAGCAGCGGCGGGAGTCCCCGTTGGGCCCTGACCCACAGGCTCCCCTTCGGCGCCGCCATTTTGCTTCCCTCTGTCACAGCAGCTCGGCTTGTTGCTGTTTTCTTTTCAGGGTTTCCTCCGCCTTCCGGGGCCAGCCCCTTCCCCGCCCCTCGGGCCGTCGCTTCCGCCTCCGCCGACTCCTCAGCTCCGCCCCGACCCGCCCGAAACTGCCGCCTTCCCGCCCCTCCTCCGGGTCTGCGAACCCCCAGGGGAGCAAGAAGAACTAGATCCAGTCATCGCGAGTGTTAGAGCGACCCGTCCTCCTCTGATGCCTTCCCCTCGCGGGGCATCCTGGGGCATGTAGTTCTGCGCCGACGGACCGCACACGGTGGGGGCGGGAAAGTTGGTCCCGGAGAACTACAGTCGCCCCGGGGGCGCCCGACCCACTCCTTTGCAGTGCATTCTGGGGAATGTGGTTCGCTGAGGCTCCCGGGTGCTCTGAGGGCTGGCGGAGCCAGTTGGGAGAAACCCCCCGTCCGGCGAGGAAGCGTTTAGTTTAATTGTGACTTCCGCGGTGCAGGCTTGGGGCCTCGGAGGGTGAGCTCTGGAAGGGGCCAGCTGCTGGCAGGGCTGCTTGTCCCGGTGGGTCTCATGTCAGACCGCTGTTAGGTTCCCCTTCCTGGGCTCCTCGGAGTGCGGAGGGTGGAGGAAGATGGTGTTTCCCTTTGCCCAGGGATCCAGAGCACGGCAGTCGTGGGTAGGGTCCTCTGGTCACCGAACAGTTTCTGGAGATGGGTGCTTGTTGTGAGGACCCTGCTGAGATCTGGAGGTGGTGGTGGTTTGCTGGTTGCTAGGGGAACCTTTGGGCTTGTGATGATGGTGGGGTAGTTGTTAATATTGAGCTCCAGGGGACCCAGTGAAACTCTTAACCCTGCCTCAGCCTCACCGAAGTTGGAAGAGGCTTGAGAAGCCACGGGCTGAAAGGCCTGGCCCAGTATTGGAATCCCCTGCACGACGTGCACTTCTGGAAGCTGAGCACCTCCTCCCTTGAGCGGTTAGTCCAATCCTTGTGGACAGTTTCAGTTAGGAGGATAGTTCTTTCCCGGGACCGAAATGCTCTTTCCTGTCAGAACTCCACTCAGCAGTCCTCGTGATTCGGGAATGCTTCCAGAGTACGGTAGAAGCCCATCGTGTCACTTCGGGGCGCACACATCACAGTGGTTTGTTTGGATGACGCTTTAGCATCTTCCCTCTTTCTCCAGCAGAACGCGCTGCGAGCCGGTGAAGGTAGTTGGTGAGTCCGCTGGCAATGGATAAATTCGTCGTCCGCACGCCTAGAATCCAGAGTAGTCCTCAGAAGAAGGATCCTGCTGGAAAGATTTACAAGCAGGCCACTATTGAATCTCTGAAGGTGAGAGGGGATCTGGGACTAGAGAAAATGTGGAAAGGACTGTGGTAGCAAGGCAGTGCAGAGGAGTTCTACTAGGGAAGACCTATACATTCTTTCTGCTCTGTGCTTTCTTCCCAAAGTGTTCCTGACCATATCCCTGATTCGGTTCCTCCCTTACTCTATACAGACTTCTATTTATCAATCCCCACACGCATCTCTGTTACTCTTAATGATTATTTTGGCTGTATGCTGGCCGAGAGGACAAACCCCCTAAAATTATTAAATTTTTTTGCAAGATTTTTTTTTTTTTGTCTATTAGGTATGTTAAAGTACCAACTATGATTCTGTGTACTCTGTACAAACTCAGTAAAAAGCTGGGTAATGATAGTCCACTCTCATGGCCTTCACAGCTATAAGCTAAGTCTGGGAAATAGACTGTTTTCATAGACTCTTTGCAACCTCTGCATGTCCGATTTCTGTTAGCAAAGAAGAGGCAAGGATACAGGGCAGATGACAACGAACCAATGGACATGGGTACCCAATTAATGATAAACTAAGGATTATTTCGCTAAAACACACGCTTCTAATTAGTTCCCTTTGCCTTCTTAACCTTTTACATTTCTGGACTTTTCAGTTTCCTTTATGGGCTCCTCCTCCATTAGATCCCTAATATTTGTGTTCCCCAGAGCTTTGTCACATTTTATGCTTTTGGCCAGGGTAGCCTTATCTATCTTAAGGCTTCCCATGTTGATGACGGCCAAACTTGTACTTCCAGCCTAGATCTCTGGCAGCGAGAGTGGGATTTGGGGCTAGAGAAGATTTGCACAGGGCCATGATAGCAAGGTGGCATTCTGAGTATTTGACTTACATATTCAGTTGGACTGCTCTTCTAGATGTGCCACAGGCTTACCAGGCCCAGATTAGAAAGCAGTACAGGAGTATATAAACAGAAGCCCTGAGTTCTAGGATCCTCCTGTGCAACTGGGTGATCTTTAGCAAGTCATTTTCTTACCTGGGATCTCACTTTGTCCTCAGTTGTAAAATATGGGGGTTGAACTTTATCAATATTCTTTCTTTTTTTTTTAAATATCTTATTTATTTTTAAAAAAGATTTATTTATTTGAAAGAGAAGGTGAGAGACAGAGCGTGAATAGAGGGGTAGGGGCAGAGGAAGAGGGAAAAGCAGATTCCCTGTTGAGCAGGGAGCTGACAAGAGGCTAGATCCCAGGACCCCAGGATCATGACCTGAGCTGAAGGCAGCCACTCAGCTGCCTTCCAGGCGTCCCTTTTTTAAAAGGTTGTATTTATTTATTTGAGAGAGAGAGAGGGAAAGAGCACGAATGGGGGTGGAGGGGCAGAGGGAGAGGGAAAGCAGACTCCCTTGCTGAGCAGGGAGCCCACCTCGCCCTGGACCCTGGGATCCTGATCTGAGTTAAAGGCAGACGCTTAACCAACTGAGCCACCCAGGCACCCCTATTAGTATTTCTTCAGAGAAACATTGTTATCATTTGGGGCAAGGTAATTCTTTGTTATTTGGAACTGTTCTCTGAGTTACAGAACGTTTACCATCCCAGGCCTTCAGACACTAAATGCCAACGTACATCACATTGTGATAAACAAAAATGCCTTCACGTATTTCCAGGCAGCCCTTGGTTGAGATCTACTGAGTTCTAGATGGTTCTTAAAAATTTCTCCTGGTCTTAGAATTTTGTGCATAAGCAAAATTTTCAACTGTCTCAGTTTTGTCAGAGTATTATGGAGCTATATAGAACAGTGACTTGCAATGACAGATGGTGGTGGGCAGGATTGTGATATCAAACTGGAAGAAAAAGAGGAGGGTAGTAATTGAATTACTCATACACTCAAAAACAAACACCCAGATTCTAATATACCTCCACCTGCCACTTCTCTCCTCTGAGTCCCTGCTTATACCCAGTTGAGAGTCCCCGCATAAAGATGAGAATATTTTATGTGAAGATTATGGAATCAGAATAAGCAATAGGCATAGGGAGAATAACATTCTCCTTAAATACAGTAGATTTTTCTCCCAAACCTGTTCTTTATTCTTCTGTATTTATTTTTATTTTTTTACTTATTAATATAATTTTTTAAAAGAGAACACATGCGTGCATGCAGGGAGGGGCAGAGGGAGAGGAAGAAGAAGAGAGGGAATCTTAAGTAGGCTCCATGCGCAGTACAGAGATCATACCTGAAATCAAGAGTCGGACACTTAACCGACTGAGCCACCTACATGTTCCCTCCTGTAATTACTTTTAAATCTATATACCAAGTAACTGGGACTAGAAACAAACCATTCTTAACTGTTTTATCGCTTACATCCAATTTTCAATTTTGCCTCCTAAATATCCTCCTTGTCCTTACATCTCCCACTTTAAATTTTGAAATCTCTCATCTAGGGATCCCTGGGTGGCTCAGCGGTTGAGCGTCTGTCAGCGTGATCCCGGACTTCTGGGATCGCATCCCACATCGGGCTCCCTGTGAGGAGCCTGCTTGTCCCTCTGCCTATGTCTCTGCCTTCTCTGTGTCTCTCATGAATAAATAGATCTTTAAAAAAAAAAAAAATCTCTCATCTAGAGCAGTGCCACGGTCTGTTAACATGTCTTCCTGCCTTTGACATCCTCTCTCATTCTCCCTTCCACACTTAACCCAGAGAAATAAAAAAGAAAATCTCCTCAGGTCACTTCCCTGCCTAATCCTTCAGTGGTTTCTCATTACCTATCAATTGAAGACACTTCTTTACATGACACCCAAGGACCTCTGGGACTTGGTATCGGCTTGCCTCATCCCCTGCTGCTCTTCTTTTTTTTTTTTTTTAACAAGAGAACAAATCTAGGGGATCCCTGGGTGGCGCAGCGGTTTGGCGCCTGCCTTTGGCCCAGGGCGCGATCCTGGAGACCCGGGATCGAGTCCCATGTTGGGCTCCCGGTGCATGGAGCCTGCTTCTCCCTCTGCCTGTGTCTCTGCCTCTCTCTCTCTCTCTCTCTCTCTCTCTCTCTGTGTGTGTGTGTGACTATCATAAATAAATAAATAAAAATTTAAAAAAAGATTAAAAAAATTTAAAAAAAAAAGAGAACAAATCTGCACCTTTATTTATTTAGTTTTCAGTAAGTTTAAATGCTTGAGGGGTACAGCATCACGCGGATTCTGTGGCCAGTGGCTTTCGCAGGAAGGTTGCTTCGGAATTTGGCACAAATCATGCCGCTGTTTCCATGAGCATGAGTTACTTTTCCCCAGATTACTCTGGTTTTGTTTAGTTTGCCACCAGGAGTTACTGTGTTGTTCTTTGCTTTGTACACATAAGCACATCGCTTGCCGAGATAGAATTCTGTTTCATCTCGAGCATAAACACCTTCGATCTTAAGTAGAGCTGTATGCTCCCTCTGGTTCCGGAGACCCTGTTTATAGCCAGCAAAAATGGCCTTGGACCAAAGCCTTCCAGACATAGTCGTCGCTTTAGGAGTCCTGTTCCCAGCAGGCCGCACTCAATTGGCACCCAAAGTTCAGGAACAGGAGCACTCCTCACCTCCAGAAGCTCCAAGATGGCCACTCTTCTTGTTTACATTCTGTCCCACTCACAATTTCCCAGAGATGGTGTGCTGTTTCATGCCTCTGTACCTTTGCATATGCTGTTCTCTTCGCCTGGAATGACCTTACTCTTTCTTGTCTTGGAGGCAATATAGTGTGGTGATTAAAACATAGACTCTGGAGCCAAACTGCCTATGTTTAAATCCA